ACAAACTCAAGCTACCTAAACCATCGACGAGGCAAAAGAATATCTTCTGTCTTCCGATTTTCTCATCCAGAGAGGCTTTGGTAATACCAGACGATAGAGCTGGCGATTCACCTGATGTTAAGTGATATGTTAGCTGTTTTGACAACCAAGGTATAGTCTCGATAATAAGTCGGCGACCCGATTGGCGTGGGGAGTGGGTTCTATCCCCACTACTGGAAAATTTCTGTGTGATGAACATCGTGTTTTTCCAGTGTCTGGGTATTTATATATGTATAATATGTATACATTTACAAAATAAAAGTATGTTTAAGTATGTTTATCAGTTTATCTGATACCCATAGTACAAGCTTTGTTTAGTTTGGGACTAGAGGACGTTGTTTAAAAGATGTGTCCGATATTAATTTAAAAAAAAAATAGTAATCAGAAAACGTGATACTCATCTAATGACACTCGGCCTGATAGATAAGATATATCGTTGAAAATGGTATCTGAACACGAAAAATACATTCTCCTTGAATAATATTAACATGAAGATTTGTTACATATAGGTTTGTTTGCTACTTCCATATTTAACACGATTCCTCAGACAACGAGGGACTTTCGAGAGTTGGTCGATAACAGTTTAAAAAGGCTTCGTATATGCCAAGGCTTGCTGGGCCGTAACCCAGGATATTGGAACGAAGTTCCTTATCGCGCGTTGTGAAAAGGGGCTAGACGAAAAGTTGTAACGACATTTTTAGCTATAGTAAGCTAATATATATATATATGTACTCTGTCTGTCTATTCTTTCATACACGTCATAGATGCGCGGGACTTTGTAAACACAATAATAAAAACTTCATTCCATTCCGGGTGTCCCTTGACACCTCTCATGTGTTTTTTTTTTAATTTTTTGTTTATTTCAGATGGTGCCAAGCGAGCCGGCGGCTCACCTGATGTAAAGTGATAACCGCAAAACCCATTTGCAAAACAATTTTACAGATGATTCGCTACCTTTTAGTAAAGTAGGCTCCTATTTCCTCACTCGCCAGACGAAAGGCAGAAGTCTAACACTTCACGCCGGTCTTCTGTGTGGTGGTGGCACTTGCCCGGACGGACCAGCCCATTGTTGCAACAGCGAAGACTGCCGCGTATTACTTTCTTACATTTCCATCGACAAAACGCGTCATTTTAGAATGACAAGATATCAGTACTACTAAATTTGTCAATTTAAATTATTTTAATAAAATTATTTTAATTCGTGACCGCACGTTGAAGCTTATTAATATAATTATATTTAGACCTGGAGACATTAAATTTGTAATAGATATTTGATGAAATAGTTGGTATCTTGTAGGAATAAGTCTTTCTTCTGACTTCATTTTTGGGGTTCCGTACCCAAAGGGTAAACCGGGACCCTACTACTAAGACTGTCTGTCTGTCTGTCACCAAGCTATAGCTCATGAACCGTGATATTTAAACAGGTGAAATTTTCACAGATGATTGAAATGATAATATATATAATGAAAATATTTAATTGTAATACTAAAATATAAAAAAATATTTAATTGGGCCTCTAAATACATAATTTCCTCTAAAAACAGACATAATTTTCTACCCTTCGTGCATGAGTCAGACTCGCACTTGGCCGGTGAAAAATGAATACATTTAAATATTTTCGCTTAAAATTCATTAAAAATTAAGAAATATATTTATTTTAAAATATGTTATAAGGTATGTACATCAAATGTAGAAAGAAATTGAGACAAATTACTCATTCTGATTCGGCGGTCTTAGCAAAATTAATATCCTTATCATTTACTTTTATACAGACAGTAGAATTATATAGTGTTATTAGTATAAATATGAGAATAATACAGTCTTTTTTTTTTTGTATTTTCTTTGCAACATTTTTCTCCGTATTTTATTTGTTGTTATTTTTAGTTTTAAGTTTTGTATTATTATGGCATATCTTCCGAGTGTTTAGATGAAGGTGACTTAACAGTTAAGTGACGTTCTAAGCCAACTTTCGCCGCGGCCAAGTTAAACCGTACTTATGACACGCTGAGCCATTCTTAAGTCACGTTTAAGCCAATACACGAAACTCCCGAAGCACAACACTAGCAGAGTAAAGTCATCACTTAAAACTAATAACACTGACAATTTTGCTTCTCGAAAACCTAAATACAACTCATAATGGAATCCAGCTTACATATAACATTTGAATATCAATAGAATCATTAATTATTGGTACGATCACTGGTTATTAAGAGAGATCTTTAAATTATGCTGTACGGTCTGTAAGTTCATTATTGTGATGATTGTTAGTATTTCATATTAAAAGCGGTACGAATATGTAATTTTTAAAATTCAACTTTTTTACTTTTTATTTGTGAGAAGGCGGCAAACGAGCTGGCGGTTCACCCTGTATCTTGTATTAACTGATGTTTTTGCTTTCAGTCCCGAGACTATTAAAGCTTCATCTGACGCAGAACCGGTGGGCTAGCCGAAGCCCCCGGGTTTGTGCCCTCCGCAGTGGGCACCGTTCACCTGATGTTAAGTGATAAGCGCTGCTCGCCCAACCCAATAGCCCACCGGTTCTGCGTCAAACGAAACTTTAATAGTCTCGGGACTGAAAGCGCAAACATCAGTTGTAAAAAGAAATACGCCGCTAATGGAGTGTTGCAACACCCGTAGGGTTTTATATGCGTCGCCTTGTTATAAATTGGACACCCATCAACTTACAAGACGAAACGCTGGAGTGTGACTCTTCCACTTCACGCCGGTCTTCTGTGAGGTCGTGGTACTTACCCGGAAGGACCTGCCCATTCGTGCAACAGCGAACACTGTTGCATGGCCCTACCACGGTTAAAACGTTTACCGGGATTTCTATACAATTGTTATATGTTAATTAATAATTCACATTTTAAATATTACTATGGTATAAATAATTTGACAAAATTTTCAATGACAGTAAGTTCAAATAATTTATGGTTAGAACTGACTTCAAAAAAGTTCGATATTAATTTCAGAGATTGCATTTCGGAGATTAATAGATACAGCATCCACTAAGGTCTGTCAACTTCGTGATCTTTCAAATCAAGTTGAATTGAGACCATTTTGGTGCATTTTATTTAAACTTTTCAGTTTTGCATAACTATTTTATTTTGTTACATGTGTTACAATTAAATGTTTTGTCTCCTTCCTTCTTTCACTCCTCAAAATCAAATATGAAATACATAGTGATTGAGATAATCGGTTCTGTTTTCTGTTCATTAAAATAAATTTTACATCTGTACTCAACATTGCAATTAAGATATAGTCTGTGCCCCCTCTAACTAGGTCATCCGGATGTGATAGCGTGCTATCTGATATTTTATTGCCCAAGTTGTACATTGTGTATGTCAGTACCCAATCAAACTGGGACGATTTGTGGACGAATGTTTTGAGTTAACTGACGCTTAGAACCGCACGGCGCGTCGCTTCTTACAATCGCTTTCTTTTCTTCTTAAAAAAAAAATAAAAAAAGCAAAAGAAACCAGCACCGTCGTAATCTTTTAACGCTTTCGCAGATAAAACTTATCTTAATAGCGTCTTGTTCGGATAAGCTACTATATACGAGTGTTTTCGTCTGAGCCGCGAACGGTATTATTTTTTTAAATTGAGATAACACTCGTGAACATTGCAGTCATACTTGATAACGATTAATTGGTGCCATAAATCAGTTTAATAAGTGAAAGTGTTGGTTAAACTGAAAAAAGATAGTTCAGATTTACATTAATATTTGCATATTTTGTATTTCATAATTTACATTATATTAATTTATTTTAATACCTTGTATGAAACTACACACTCTCGATGTAGAGTCATTCATTGTTTATTGTTAAATAAAAAATTTATCTTTGGAACATTTTGATGCTTAGGTATAACTTGAATTTTATTCTAAATCATGAAATATATTTATAGGAAATAATATGTACAGATTCACTAATACGCGATTCACTAATACGCGTAACATAAAACAAAAGGCATTCGGTTGCATAATAAATTAGGAACCGCCTAATAAATGGCAAATTGGCCAGAGTGATAAAACACTATGCCATTATATTAGGTATATAATTTAAAAAAAATTCTAAAAGAATTTGTACCATTAATTTACATATTTATGTTTAAAAGAAAACGTTAATATAATAATTATTTACCAAGCCCGTGAACACGAACAAACTCGGACAGCATACATATGCAAATAAAACCGAACCTACTTTAAAACCAATTATATTATTACCGAGTGTCTCGATACACAATTAAAACTTGATAAATAGTCTATAATGATAAAAACGTAAAACAGATGTTTCGTTGTTTGTACAACAGCTTTTTAATTTCGTAAAAAAAGGTTGCTATCGGCGATTAATTAGAGACGGCGGCGTGGAGCCATTTAAATGTCTTTCTTAAAGGGCTCCATAGTTAAACTATAAAATTATTGGCCCATTTAAATTAAATCGATTGTGTGTCGTTCAACGATAAAAGTTAATGACGACGGATAAAAATTTATTATAATATCAACAAGGCCGACATGTTAGGAATGATGTAAAGGAATATTCAAATCAGTGTATCGGAAAGTTAGTTTGCGTGGCTTTTGTATGATCAGGTATTAAATGCTAATTTAGGGGCAATGCCATCCGCGTCGATACGATACATCATCAATTATTCAGTAAAAGCCATAGACAAAGTTCGTTTTCTTATTCCGTCACAATTTTCCACTTGCCGTGTTTGCAAAGATTCATTGCAATTTTTGGGGAAAAAAACGTTTCTATCGTTTTTTCTAAATCAACAAAGGGTTTTATCGCTTTCTGTTTTTATAATCCGTCTCTGAATAAAAGAATATTTCCCAGAATTTGGTACACATCTAAATTATATGAATCATAATATGTTTTTCCACTCTCTAATTCTGTTTACTAGAGTTTCTAGACTTGTTACCAGGTCATAAATCTTTATTAAAAAAAGTTCCTCGATCCACTCACCTCCGGGAAACCGGTGCGGGAATATCCTCCCGTGCCTGTTGATCAGCCACGGGTACAGCTGGTAGGACTCCCTCGGGACCGGTGCGGCGGGGTGGGGCGGGGGGTGGGGCGGCAGAGGCGCCCCGAAGCCCTGCTGCTGGTGGGCGAGGGCCGCCGCCAGGGCCGCCCCCTGGAAGTGCGCCAGGAACTGGTGGTGGTGGCTCTGCGCGTCCAAGTAGGGCAGCCGCTTCAGTTCGGGCGCCGGGAAGACGGCTGGCAAAGCGCTCGGCCTCAGCAAAGGACGCGGCGAGGGGCTCCTCGGAGACGCTATCGGCGACGGGGAGCCCGGACTGGCGAGCGGCGGCGACGCCCGCTTCGACCGCTCCGAACCACCAACTATACTGTCTATGCTGAACCCGATCTTCGGCTTCGATGGCACCGCCACCACAGGGGTCGGTGCGAGAGGCATCATGCTTCCGCACGGAACGGTACCGTCACAAAATCAACACCGGCTCACAGGCGCTGGGGGAGGCTTGGGCACATGACGCACACACAATCCATTTTCGTGACGCGAGCGCGCGATACGTACGCCGGGGCGGCGCGCGGCCGAATGAGCGCGTTCCCGCGCGTCGCGCGCCGCGCGCGAAACCGTAACGGCCGACGCGGACCCCCGCTCTCCTATTGGCCGGCTATATCAGATGGGTGGCGATGGAACGTCTCCGTGTGCTTTATTTGCGCTACAGCAGACGCTGATTGGCCAGACGCGGCATGAAGGTGGAATTTGAATTTGGAACGCTCCGTACGGGGGCGGCGCGCGCCCGCGGCCCGCGATTTTGAACCGGCTAAGTGGAATGTCGCTCGTGAATCGCACGCTCAGAGAGGATTGCGCGCCCTCTCGAATTCCGCCGGTTGTGATTCAATTAAGGCGCTATTGGGTGGGTTAGCGCGCGTCGATATTCGCTCGTTAGTTTTTTTTTTTTTCGCCCCGACCGCGGCCCGCCGTTTCCCGCTTCGGCGCACCGTGTAATACTTTTTAATTAACTCGGATGCTTTATTAGCTTAATGCCGCGAGATAGAGCCGCGCGGCGAATAGAAAATAAATTGATTCCGCGTCGAATCGCGAACGAAGCCACTCGAAGATGTGAACTGTTCACGTAATTATTTACGCCGTTAAAATAATTGCCGGCCCCCGCCCGGGCATCGATTGTACTCGGAGTTGAGGAATTTAATTTTAATAAAACCCGATAAGGATTAAATTTCACGCAAATTTTACCACCATTACAAACTAAACAGTGTTCGGTAAATACTTTGCTTTTTTAATTAAAATTGTTATGGCTCCATCTTTGCAACGCAACCGATTGGTTTCCTTTCATAAATCAACAAAACGCCTTATCTTATTATAAACATTGGTAGGTACGCGACTTTATTACAATTCCATTTGCCATTTACGACGAAAACTCTTTTTGTGATATTTGCAATTAAATAAAATCACTAAGGAATACGATTTTAAATTTAAACGATGGATTTTCTGAATTTTCCTGGCATTAGAATAAAACGTCTATTAACGTCACCTGTTTTTAGGACATAAAAACAACTCAAGAATGTTCAAACTCTTGGTATTTATTTCTACAGTACCAGCACAAGTTACATGGATGGTAAAATTAAGTTATTTTTTTAAATATGTCAAATTTAAAAAAAAAATCCCCTTGTTAATTTATGTTCCTATTCCATTGAACAAAACATAACGAATATCGTCATTCAATACTTTATAAAGATATTGGAGACTTTTATACCATATTGTACCATGATACAAGAAAAATAAAATCTATGCTCAAATCTGTCGAAGTATTGACGTACCTATTTGTCAAAACAAATTCTTTTATATTAATCATTCAACACCTAATTAACATTCGAAATTTTTGTATTATTAAAACTATTAACTAATAAGTTAAAGTTAAGTAGTCAGTACCGGATTAACCTCGTAGCAAGTGCTATGGGCCTCGCGCCGTATATTTAATCCACTCATCTGTGCCTGAGCCTTAAAATTTTAATTGAAACTTCATTACTAATATTATAAATGCGAAAGTTTGTATATATGGATGGATGTTTGTTACTCTTTCACGCAAATACTACTGAATGGATTTTAATGAAACTTTACAATAATATAGTTTATACACCAGAATAAGACATAGGCTATAATTTATACACATATTTTATGTGTATCTGTCTTTCTGTCTGAATGTTACGCCTTCAGCCTATTCTACGCAGACGTAGTCGCGGGCAGCAGTTAGTATTAAATAAGTAAGAGTATTGTATTGTTCTTTTACCCACTGTATATTTAAGAACCAATAGCGGTATAAGGGCTGCTTGAAAGACTTTGCTACGGGCCCCGCAATTGCTTTAGCCGGCATCGTAAGAAGTAATAGTTAACTATACCCAAAACGAATCTTGGCAATAACTTATCACTCAACCGTTTGTCAAAAACTTACAATAAATTGTCTGGTACTTATATGACCATAGACATTTTTAACGACAGTATAGACAAGTTCAAGAGAAATCTGTCCACTTACAGTTTTTTATTTAATTAGAATAAATTTCTTCTTTATCTCCACAGTTTTCTTTTTTTGTTATTTTGTTAAATTGTTTTGATTATATGTTTATTTCAGTGTTAAGTCAGTCGACTACTGTATTTATTCTTTGTTTGCATTTAGCATACTTCAATTATCATTTTCTAATTTTTTTTATTATTCTTTTTTTAGCAGTTGTCAATCTAATAACTTTTGAATGTCGTTTCACCTGTAATTGAGATACCATTTAGTTGAAGATACTATGTACTCATTTATGTTTTAAGCCTGTTTTGATGTGTATCTTGTTGGTGAAGAAAATAAATAAATAAATATACCTAATAATGCGTATAAAAAATATAATGAAAGGTATGCAGTCTAAAACTACTTAATATCTCTGTAATTTTAATGTCTATGCCGTTATAAAGGACTACTCTTTCCGCAGTTTGGCACTACATGCCAAATTCCACCAATAAACGCCAGACATTTGAGTTTGCCAATCCGTCTGCGCTATGCCAGCCATCGGTTGTCCAATCTGGCGTTCAGCCATCACAGACTCCAGTAAGCGAATCCGGGATAGAGGAGTTGTATAGAGCTATATTCAGCCTGATGTCCCGCAACTGTACAGGGCTTTTTTATAATGTGAAAAGTTCTTAAGCGAGCAGGCGGTTCACCTGATGTTAAGTGAATACCGCCGCCCATGGACATATGCTATACCCCAGGGTTAACAGCCTTTTTGAAAATTGGGCTCCGGCCACCTAACACACCAGATGAAACGCGAAAGTATTTGTCATACTTCCACCTTACGCCGGTCTTCTGTGAGGTCGTGGTGCTTACCCGGACGAGCCTGCCCATTCGTGCAACAGTCGAGGCTGCTGCGTGGCCCTACCACAGTTCTTCTTCTTATTATTGATATTTCTATACTTCACAACTCTTCTAAATATTTTTGAAGTCATACAATTTTTGGCGCGTTTGGAAAAATTACGACAGTAAAAGTAGAGAGTACAGATTTTTATCAGTAGGCATTCACGCAGCACGTTGGCAACTGTTGGATATAAATTTTGACTGTCCCAGTGACTATGTCCGTGACCTCACCCTAAGTATGGACCCAATAAATTTGTTTAAAACAAAACTCTCCCACTAGTGGTTTTATTAATGCCTATGAAACTGCTAACATTTTATTAACAGTTATACACAGTACTAATTAAAAAATGAAATCTTTCAATTTATCAAAAATAATCTAGTTTTAACGAGAGAATAATTGATATATGTAACGATGACATACTCACGTGGGTAATACATCTAATAAAACAAGCAATACAGACTCATGCAAGCAATATATTCTTGTTAACAATTAATTATTCATACATATTTGATTTTTCCAATAAGGCTTTTAATATGCACCCTTGCATCAATAAAGCCGTTGATGTATTCAAAACAGTACATATATAATCTCTTAACACGATTGATAATAAATCTTATTATTATAATTTCATTGTTAGCGCAGGATTATTTATAGACGTTGAAGCAAACTTCATGCTTCTAATTCACTAGTGTTACTCATTTAAACACAATGGAATTCACACTTTAAATAAATACAAAAAATCAACGATCCGTCATGTCTCATTAAATTGCCGCCGAAATAATATAACTTATTTTATTGCTCCAAAACGGGCAAAGGTATTTATTGCATATAGTCATAAGCTTTAAAAATTCAAATGGTCATCGTTGCAGTGGATTATTTATATTTTTATTATGCACTAATAAAAATGTTTAGGCAATTATAAAACATACCCACTGCTACGATAACTTTTAAAATTTATTATGGTGATTTTATGTATATTTGCAAATCTGTTGAACTTTTTCGTTCAATTATGTGGACTATGCTTTTGTTATTAACTTAAAAAGACAATTCAGAAACGCACTCATAACCAGCTCGCTAGTTTATTAGGTACTTGTTTTGCAGCAAAGATGTGAGTGCGTCAATCATTTTAAATAAGCTAGTGATTCAAGTTCTTCCTTCTTCTTTCTTTAATAAATGCCTTCTCTTAAAAAAATTCTACCAATATCATGTCAGTCATGGAAGTGACGTTTGTGATTGAAGTTCATGTAATAAAAATAACTTATTTCTTAACAAAATATAAAAAAAACAATAAACTGCACTCTGGATGATTTAAATCAGAACAAAAATTTTACGATTTGTTAATTTCGATATTGAAAACTAAACAAAATTAATCTCGCACACATAAAACAAAAAAACACAGGTCCCGTTAAGAAGTAGCTTCAAAAAAGCAACGGTCACTTAAACTGCGGTTAAAATTAATAATCCCGGCTCACATCGTTTACAAAAACCCTTTCGTGTCTTTCAAAATCTTCTACAATGCACCGTTAATCACATCGTTTGTCTCCAAAATAATTTAATTAATATAATCTGTATTCAAAACTACGACGGCTTTTGTTAATAGTTTTTATCTGTCAGTCGATGTTAGTTGGGGTATTTTTTTGAAAAAAAATACCGCCAAATCTACACAGTTAAAAGCGACGTTGCTTTAGAGGACTCGGTGGGATCAGTCTTTTTCTGGGTTTTTATTGTATTAAAGAATTTGTCTTTCTTATATCTAATCCATTTTGACGGTTTGTCTTGTTTTAATATTCCATTTTAACAGAGCTGCACCTACTTATTTTAAGCTCGATAAATTCCGTAAAAAAAAATTGTGAGATGAATGGATAAGAAATTACCTTATGGTTAAAATTTACATTTTTGCGCATCAATTTTCAAGCTTGAAAAATTCTATAGATAAAGAAATGTCACCGATGAAATGACATATAACATAAAACCCATGCAAACGCTTACTTTAAAAAAAAATAATACTTGTAATTTTCCAAGAAAGTCCGCCATTTTATTTAATTTGACTTCGAAAACATAAATACACAGTACTGCCTATAAGCTTAATAAAGCAAGCGGGCGACGTCAGACCCGTATCGATTGTAAAATTGATTTTAAGTTTTTTCTTTTAATTAAATGAGTCACAGATTCCACACAGAGCACCCCAATTCGATGTGGCCTTGTGGTCCCTACCCTTAGAATAAATATGAAACGGCGGAGCCAGAAGCTCGCATCGGAGGTCCTGAGTGGAGCAAGCCCAAGAGGCCAAGTGGATCGGATGGACGAGGTGGCGAACGAAGCGAACTGGTCAGGTTTCTGACGAGCCTAGTGAGATGACAGCGCATAAAAGAGTCAAATTTAGTGATGGAGCAGTAATTTTTAAAACTATATTTTTTTCATCATTTTATAGTTTGATCATAGAAATATTTAAAAAGGCGAATGCAACTGATAAAACAAGCCGAGTACAATATTCCATTTCAGTAAGGGCTGTAAAAAAAACCATCACTAAGTTTGTAAGGTTTGTACAAGTGTTGAAGTTTTAGTGTCTGTAAAGTGTGTATTGTTTGATTGAGTAAAATTCAACTTCTGTCTGGTGTAGCTGATAGTAAACCTGTCTTTTACGTCAAAGGGCGTGGGTTCGATTCACCAGTGTCTGGTGTTCATAAAGTCAAAGTCAAAATTTCTTTATTAAATATAGGATTAATTATTCTATTTAGCTCTTTTTGAACATCAAAAAAACTATCACCAGTTCACTAAACTAGACCTGTCCAAAGAAGAAACGTCATGAAGCTCTGCGGTGTTGTAATAAATTTTTTTAAATTATATAAGTACACAAAAGTATTTAAGTATAAAATTAGCAACAGCCAGGGGACTTCCAAGTGCAGAGCAAGAGTCAATTCCACACATTCTTTTCCTCAATGTATTCTTCGACATTATAATTGGCCCTTTCCATTAGTGTAGCTTTTACTAAATGTTTGAAATTGTTTACACACCCACCAACTGTCTGCGTTATGTAAAAGCGTGTCTTAAAATTTACTTATAGTGTTGTTATTATATATGGCTACACCGTCGCGAAAAACTGTCGCTATTTTGTCTTCAGTCATAACCAATTTCATTGTCAACCTCTTTCACTTTCGTGAAGGCGGACAGAGGGAGATAGTGATAAATCATCTAATGAATATTGACAGCCAGTTGGCAACTGTCTCACGACCGTCCAGCGGTGTTGTTTATGGCGTTCATTTGTAAACGGCATTCCTGGCAAAATTAAAAGCGCAACGCGTGTCACTGTTTATTCATGAACATGATTTGTGCAGTCGATAAATATAGTTCCTGTTGGCAATCTGTCGGGTCTTACGCCCAGCTTTAGTTTTCTATCTGGAGATTTGCTTACTAGCGATAAGTTACCAATTAGCTCCGTAACACTTACATAAAATTTTCTATCACCAGTAACCAAATCTACAGAATTTCTGAGGATGCCTGGAAGAAATTACTCGTAGTAATAAGGCCGCTCATTGTACCCATCACTTCTACATTAAGTTTTAATTTTTGTTTGTTTTATTTTTGGTGTGCAATAAAGTATATTCATTCATTCATTCAGCCGCATTATCCTTTTAAAATTGACCGCACTGTATGACCGGTACATAGAGTAGAAATCTCATAAGCATTGAGTTCTATACTCTACCCACCTATTTCGATTTGCACTCACATGTGTTGGTAAAAGTAAAGATGCAGCTATTCAATATTTCTGTAAGACGACTCCGTGGCGCAGTTGCCAAGGTATTGGCTTCGGTGCCGGAGGTCTTGGGATCGATTCGCACACGTGACAACTATTTGTGTGTCCTCACAACACAGCATAATGTTATCCTACAGTGAGGCGGAATGTATTCGACGGGAAGACTACAATAGATCTTCTAGATCGCAGTGGCCGTTGGGACTTACTACCCAACCACTACCACAGAAAATACAAAATAAAAGTACAAATAAATGTTAAACGCCGTGTTGTAAAACTCTTAAATAATGTGAAAAGATAATAAGGAATCATTATCATAACAGTTGTCGTCATTTCAGCGTTTTTTGTTTCATTTCATTTCAAAGTCCACTCCTGAACATAGGCCTCTCACACAAACTGCCACAAAGCGCGACCCTGAGCCACCTGCTTCCATCGACTTCCCGCACATTTGCACAGGTCGTCGCTCCATCTAGTGGGGATCGTCCAACACTGCGATGGCCAGTACGAGGCTGCCCCTAGGAAGGAATAGATGATATTTGTGCTCGGCCTTAGCCTACGTGAAGCTCCATTAGCCATGAGAAGTGCGAAATGAAATAATTAATTTATACTCTATAAGTTATAGAGTAAAACAAATCAAAGTAAGTACCTAACACGGCAACAAATTAAATCGATCCAGTTTGTTGTTCTCATTTCAATTCCAGTACCGGTGTTGGCGCCATTGAAATGGTTATTTGCAATTATAAGCGGTTATTTAGCACGTTTGTCCGTCACGCTCGAGACGGGTAATGTTAATTAGATTAAGGAAAGCATTGTGGAGACAATGGAACAATTCGAAGACGAATGGTGTGAAATGATCCATGGCAGTGTTCTGCGTCGTTTCAAAAGAGAAAGATGTAGCAAAGGCCACATTTGACGGAAATATCAATTGCAATTGTAAATAATTTAGATTCTTAGTGGTAGGAGAATCCTGAGGAAGTTACTTATAAGTTGTATCGGAGAGTTAAATAAATACATAGGTTCGCCGTTAGACGTTTTAAG